CTCCTGGGCTCAAGCGATTCTCTTGCCTCCGCCTCCCAAGTAATTGGGACTACAGGCGCCCGCCACAACGCCTAGCTATTTTTTGTCTGTAGTTATTGCTGTTTGGCAGGCCCAGGTTGGATTTGAACCCGCCAGCTCTGGTGTATGTGGCTGGCACCTTAGCTGCTTGAGCTACAGGTGCCACCACAACCAAACTATTTTTTGATTGCAGTTATCATTGTTTAGCAGGCCCAGGCTGGGATCAAACCTGCCAGGGTTGGTGCATGTGGCTGGTGCCCTGCCCACTGAGCTATGGGCACCACCTGCTACAAAAATTTATTTCTTAAAGATCATTAATTATTTCTGAAAGAAGTTCCAAGCACATTAAGTATATTCTTTTTTTTTTTTTAAACAGAGTTTTACTTTGTTGCCCTCAGTACAGTGCTGTGGCATCACAGCTCACAGCAACCTCAAACTCTTGGGCTTAGGCAATTCTCTTGCCTCAGCCTCCTGAGTAGCTGGGACTACAGGCGCCCACCATAACGCCTGGCCATTTTTTTGTTGCAGTTGGCCGGGGCTGGGTTTGAACCTGCCACCCTCAGTGGCAGCTGGCGCCTTACTCATTGAGCCATAGGCGCTGCCCCCTTTTTAAATTTTTGATCAACATAATTTAACTGTAAGGTCCAAGTGTGTTATAAGATAAAAAAAGATTGAGAAACACTGGCATAAGGGTATCCCTGCAGATCTCCAGTGCTCTAAGCAGCATCCTCTTGTCCGGTATTTTGCTCAGCAAATTATAGCTATCTTTGCTTCCTCAAACGTCTGTCTCCTCAGACAGAAAGATCATAGGACTCTTTCTTCTCTATTCACTACAACCTGGAAACTCTCCCCAGGCAGTAACCTAAGACAATGGTAGGACTTGCCTTTATTTATTTCTCTTCTCTCAAGAATCACTTTCCTGTACTGTTGTCCAATGTCTGAAAACCTTTGTTTCATACATTTTGTTCAGCTGCTTAAGATGGAAAGGAAAATCTGATCTTTGTTACTCCCTCATAAATGGAAATGAAAGTTCCCATAAGTAACAACTATTACAGTCTGGAGTACAACCTTTCAGATTTTTTTTTTATAGATTTATTTCATTTTATTTTATTTTTGGTCAGGGCTGGGTTTGAACCCACCACCTCCGGCATATGGGGCCGGTGTCCTACCCTTTTGAGCCACAGGCGCCGCTCCAACCTTTCAGATTTTTAATGTAGTTATTATTATTTTATTATTCTAAGAAAATGAGACTCTCACTATAATGTTCTGCAAACTTCTCACTTAACGATACAGTATGGATCTCATTACATTGAAATATATATAAATACATGTATAGCCTCACTCTTTTTAACAACTACAAGGTACAAATGGACCACATTTATATTATTCTGAAAGGCATTTAAATTCCCCCCCACCCAGGGCAGTGCCTGTGGCTCAGTGAGTAGGACACGGGCCTCATATACTGAGGGTGGCAGGTTTGAACCTGGCCCTGGCCAAACTGCAACAAAAAAATAGCAGGGCGTTGTGGCGGGCACCCATAGTCCCAGTTACTTGGGAGGGTGAGGCAAGAGAATCACCTAAGCCCAAGAGCTGGAGGTTGCTGTGAACT